AAGGTTCCTATTGTTGTTTATGATAAACCAAAGTTTATATACCTAAATGTAGGTTTACCAGTAATAGAACGTAAAGATTTTATTATAAGGACTTATGAGTAATTTAAAAACTTGAATCTATATACTATTCACTAATATTTGATGACTTCAAATAGTGACTTGTGACCATAAAATTATGTAAATAATAGTGACTAATAACTTAATAACAGTAAATTGAAATCACGAATAGATTTAATATCAACAATTTATAATAAGTAATTATTAATATTAATAATACGTTTAAAATATTATGTAGGTCCATGGAAAATGCCTATCTAGTAAGTACCTACCTATTAGAGTCACATTAGACATGAACGATCGTCATTCGACAAGCACGTAAGTAGAAACAATATAAGAATTTAGAAGTATAATTATAATTAATAAACAGTTACCTACCTAGGTAAAAATTATAAACATAATATAATATAGGTACAACAATTATTAACATTTAACTATATTAAAATATATTTCCGTTATAATACTTATTAAAACATAAATAACACAAAATATCTACATGACCTGTTTATAGGAAACTCTCTTTGCATTTCGAGAAAAGTTAATTAAAAATCTAATTAATTTAATTAACTTTTCTTGTAATTTATGTGAAACAACCATTGGAAACTGATTTCTGATTTAAAATGAAATATATAATATATATTTATAGGCATACACAATACCTGCCGTTATAAACATGTATATATTATTAATAGGTAATTATTTTTTTTTCTGAAATTCACAATACTCGAAATAATTTCACAAAAGAAATATCCATTATATTTTCGTTACATTTAAACAATTATAACGATATCACGTAACTCTTGTTACGTTACTACCCAATACTGCAGCTATATAGTGTAACCTAACTAATAACTGTGAAAAGAGTAAAACACATGGATACCTATAATTATCTATTATCTAATCTTTGAACATTTTTAAAATTTAAGTTTTTAAGTTAGGGAGTGTCACTACTGGGTGGCTTCTTCCAACAACTCTTTCAAGTCAAATGTAAATCAGCCCATATTCTTATTGTGACACTATTGGTATAGATTGTAGGTACCTATAATACTTTTAAAAATAAAAAATAAAAAAGTTTTTAAGTAATGGTCAAAATGACTTATACAAATTTTGAAATATAACCAGTGTAGGTATATGATTAAAATTATAATATAGGTAGGTTTACCATAGTAAAAAATACATGTTTGATACAATATGATATTTATATTCCCAATATGTTTTACGTGTGTATTTTATCATATTAAAATAATAATTAATGTAGAATAGCTACGGCCTATGGTATAAGAAGTGCTGTATGCTCCAATACTCTAGTAATCAAGACATAGGCCATATTACATCTGGTGGTATCATCGAAATATTTTGGTGGGTGGGGGAGTGGGGAGGGTAAGGCTGCGGTGACCCTATATAAATTATTAAACTAAACACACGTTGTCCATTATTTAACTCAACAGAAAATTCAACTTCACACGTCGTTCCTTGAGTTCCTTTTCCTAGTATTCTACATATAGGTATAATGTCAGAATGATGCAGTACTTTTTTTCAAAAACTATATACTTACATATACTAACAGAATGGGACTGTATACGAATCGTAACACATGTTTTAAAAATTCAATGTCCCTTAGGAGGCGGAATCATATTACTGAACCGAAACTAAAAATGAACAGACTTACAATATATTGTTACACATATTAAAATAAATTATCTCACTTACTTTTATACATATATGTGTAGCTGAGTATTAATGTATGAATTCAGCCATTTATGTAGATATTAGGTAATACTAATAAGTAATAGATAATAAACAAAGTAGACAGTGGCATAATTTCTGGCTAGGCAATGTTTGCATTTGCCTCTATCTGATTTTAAAAGCATTTTAAGAAAGTATTATATTGTATAGGAACTAAAATATAATTGTCACCAATTCGCAATATTAAATTTTAAATTAACTATTTAGGTACTAATTAACAGTGGGAATATATTTATATGTAGACGCCTGAGGGTATGTGCATGAAAGTTGGTACCTATATTTATGTGTGTCTTATGAAAGAAAAGGAACATATAATATGTTGATATTATATGCTTGAGACTTGAGAGCGAACCGAGGGGTAGTTTTGAAGTTAATTATTTGGGCTGGTCAAAACTTTTGCTTCCCTCCTCTATTTAAAAACTGAAATGACTCCACTGGAAGTATAACAGGCATAAATTAAGCACTTAATAAATAATATTTATAATTAGGTAGGTACATAGTTAACAAAACCTATTGAAGATTTAAAGACATTTATAGGGCTAATGGACGTTAGATTAAGATTTCTGGTAAACTTGTATACTTATTTTATGGAAGTATTTAATATTTATTCAGAACATTTTATTATTATAATTTATTTATTAACTCTAAAATATTTTCAAGACATACTGAAATTTATTATTTAGTACCCTAATTTGTTTCGAGGAACGAAATTTTGTTATTCACTCGATTTCTCATCGAACGATTTTCTTATTTTTATATGATTCAAAATCGAATGACTCTAGATACATACAAATTTCACTGAATGTTTATTTTATCAATTCTTATACTTGATAAAATGTTCAAAATATTTTGACGCTTTTTGAGCTGTTTACGGGCATTGTCAGTTTTCAATTTTTTTATTTTTTTTTTCTATTAATATCAATCAAGTTTTATCTGTTGGGTCAAAAAGTGTAAACATTTAATACTATGCGTCTATGCTCCTGATATATTGTTACAATATCAGTTGAAAAATATTAAAAATACATAGGCAATTTTTTTTATAAGCATTTCAGGTTGAAATTTTGACAAAATTTAATAATTATTTTGTAGTTAAAAATGTATAAAATGTTCAACTTTTATATCTAAGGATTGAAAATTTAAAACAAGATTCCATGTAATTAGTTAATTCTGTTACCAAAAAATCTAAAATATACACATCCACAGTTAATTTTTATAGTCATTTTAAGGTCAAATTTGGACGAAATTACATGATGAAAAACCTAGAATAACTATTTTAGTTATTTTGTTGTGATTGTATAATATTATTCGTGGGTACTTAAAACTTCTAAAGTGTACCTACTATTATATATCCATGATAGTATCATGGTTTTTTGTTGATGTACCTATAACGCGTTATAAGTACCTAATTTATATTGTGATATGATTAATTTGGATTTATTATAGGTCAATATTTTTTAAAATACCATAGATATGTATATAATATGTCACATGGTTTACATGTTTTTAAATACCTAATCATTAAGAACATAGCTAAATTGTATAGAAATTGGTTTCATAGCGATGCGAGTTTATAAATACAATTTATAGTTGCATATTTTGCATATTTGACCATTTTTTTTTTATAAGTGCATATTCGAAAATTTTTTTTATAATATAATATAGGTGTAAGTTTTATAATTCAATAAAAAAAACCTAATTTTAAATAGATTTCCTGGACGAGAGATATTAGTATAATGGTTTTATTTATAGAAAATAAATATTTTATAATTTTATATAATGTTTGTTTTTCTCACTGTTTACTCGCATTGTGACTTATTGGTACGCCATATGCGGGATTCATAAAAACTTTATAAGCATTTAAAGATCGAATTTTGACAAAATTTATCAAAATCTTGAAAATGATCAATCATTGTACCTAATTAATAAATTATAAAATGTTCAGTTTTTATAGCTAATTATTGCAAATTTAAAACAAAGGTTCTCATAAATAGTTCATATTATAACCAAAAAATCTAAAAAATATATGAACACACTTATTTTTTACAGACATTTTAAATTCAAATTTGGACGAAATTACATATTAAAAAACCTAGAATAACTGTTTTAGTTATTTTGTTGTGATTGAATAATATTATTCGTAGGTACTTGAAACTTCTAAAGTGTACTATTATATATCTATGATAGTATCACGGTTTTTGTTGATGTATAACGCGTTATAAGTACCTTATGGATATTGTGATATGATTAATTTGGAATTTATTATATTTACCTATTATAGGTCAAATTTTGGTTTAGTACCATGTATAATATGTATATAATATGTCTTATACCTAGACTGACATACCTACCGTCTCCGCTCAGAATCGTTTTTCTTATACAATATGATATTATATCGTTGAATTCAAATTTAATATCATCCATTATACAGTGACCCACTTGTAACCTACTGTACAGCAGAGCGACACCCACTTGCCCACCTTTTTTTTTAAAATTCATATTTCAATAGCATATTTATTGATCCTCTAGGGCATTCTCTAAGTGCATGCATATTTTAATTTTTTTAAGGCCATGAAGTCCTTAGCCCTGAATAATAATTTATAGCCTCATAATAATGAATGGCCAATCCTCCCGTTTAATGTTTTTATATTATTTTAAATAGGTATAAAGGTCTCTACACACTGCAGCGGTGGAGCTAAAATGAGTCCTTAAAAACAATTTCCCGCCACTGATGGGGACTTCAACGCGTAATAATTATTTCAGCACTCGGTGTTGGAGATATGGCAACGTTGCATTTATTTTGAAGGTTAGATATTAAAGGCAGCGACATCCGACAACACGGCGTGTTTTGTGGCGGTTATATTTGATATTAGTCCTTTCTCTATACGTTTCTGTGTGTGGTAGGTTAGCAGATCAGCCGAACCAATCGTCGGTGTCCACGTCTGGTTTTGATTTCAAATAACCGAAACGATATTTCCCTCCGCTGCTGCCGCCACCGTCACCACTTGCTATTATAGTGGCACAGTGCCAGCGCGTTCCCACTTCACAGTTCTCATTACACTTCGATCCCTTCGGTATCGTCCTTTTTTTTTTTCTTGGTCGTCGGCAAAATATTTGCGTCGCCTGTCAAGTATTATAAAATATTTACTTAATAATATTATATTATAATCGTATAATATTACCTATAATATTCGTGCAAGATGAGAGCCGCGCCGACGAAGATGTCTCTGTGCGCACTGGTCTGCTTGGTTACCACCCTAGCCGTTGGCGCGGAAATCTATTTTGAAGAGAACTTCTCCGATGGTATGTATATTATAAATTATTGGTATAATGTTTATTTGATGTCATTATACCGTTCCACAGAATCGTTTGAGACCGAATGGACGTACTCGGAATATCCTGGCAAAGAGTTCGGCAAGTTTGTATACAGCTCGGGCGCTTTCTACAACGATTTCGAGGCCGACAAGGGTATACAGACGTCGCAGGACGCTCGATTCTATGCATTGTCCAAGAAATTCTTGCCATTCAGTAACGAAGACAATGACCTCGTTATCCAGTACACGGTCAAACACGAGCAGGCTATTGATTGCGGCGGTGGATACGTTAAGCTGTTCAACTGTGATTTGGATCCAAAGCAAATGCACGGTGAAACGCCATACGAAATCATGTTTGGTAATTATATATTTTGTATATTTTTTGTACTATGTGTATTAGGTATTGTTAGACGTTAGTACAGCCCAAACTGTAATAATATGTATAGGTATTGTAAAAATGTGTAATTTATTATAATAATAAGAAAAAAATATACCCTTGAATACGTACTTAGTATTTATACTTATACCTACTTGGTAATAATTAGAGGATACCACACTTGCGTCACAAGTTGCTTACAGTGGCGGCTTGTGAGATTCGCATAAGGTGGTGCACAAATAGTTGTATCAAATACCTTCGTAGACTGGTAAAAAAAATTATTTTGTTAGGTATAGGTAGGCAGATACCCAAAATAGTGTACCTACTTATCTATTGGTATTTAAATTTTTTAAGTTCTGTAAGCTCAACATATTTATTATTATTTATTTATTTTCTTATCTTTTTATTTATTATTTTATGTAATATAGTATTGTTTTATGTAGCTTATGTGCAATACACAATGTCACGTTAACATTTCAATAATTGATTCACTACAATAAAAATAGGCCCGAGAAACACATTAATTATGCTCCAAAAGACCATGTTTTACTTACCCGAGTGTCCATGCATGTAAATAATAATTGTATGGCCTCTTGGAGCACAAATATGTTGTGCTTAAAAAAATTAAATATAGATAAGTATATTATTTTTATAGGTACATAGTAATTTTAAAACCGAGTTACTTATAAATTTTTAATGACTTAAAGATTGATGATCATAATTATTATTTTCAAATATTCTGCATAATAATTAATCAAAATTGTATTCTGATAGTTATAGACTTTATATACATTATAATTTAACTTATTGAATGCTTTTAAGTGCTTATTGATAGGTTTCTGTAATGTAACGCATACATTTTCTGAAAATAATAGTCATGCTCCCTAGGTCAATAAAATAATTTAAATACTTCATACCACGATAATTGTTTTTTCCAAGATAATTAATATTATCTGCTTGCTATAATACTATCCATTACATTAATTTGAGAACCTACCTATTTCTAGAAAAAACGAATTAACAAAACATAACAATATGAATTTATGATTATGAATAAAATCAAGAGTTAAATATAGCGCCTAAAGTACATAATAAGTGTTAAAAATCTGTTTGTAAGTGGTTAATATTTTTCCCCATTAAAATGCTGTATCCTAGAATAAAAATCATAATTTATAGGTGTAATAATTTTTTTTATATTCCACACGTGTACACATATTCAATATTTTGATGTTTTTAACATTTTCTTTTAAAATGATCTAATTGATCAATTGATGTATATTTATTTTTAATTTCAATTTATTTTGCTTCTATAATTTGTATTGCTTAAACAAAAGTTGTGTTTATTTCTAGGACCTGACATTTGTGGACCTGCTGTAAAGAAGGTTCATGTTATCTTCAGCTACAATGGCAAAAATGTACTGATCAACAAAGACATCCGTTGTCTTGATGACGTCTACACTCATGTTTACACACTTATTGTAAAGCCTGATAATACTTATGAGGTATTAATTGACAATGAAAATGTAGAATCTGGTAAATTAGAAGCCGATTTCGACTTTCTGCCACCCAAGACAATCAAGGATCCTGAAGTTAAGAAACCTGAAGATTGGGAGGATAATGCTACTATTGATGACCCCAATGATAAGAAACCAGAAGATTGGGATAAGCCAAGACTCATAACTGACCAAAATGCCACTAAACCAGAAGATTGGGACGATGAAATTGACGGCGATTGGGAGCCACCAATGATTGATAATCCAGAATACAAGGGTGAATGGACACCAAAACAGATTGATAACCCAAAATACAAGGTATGAATAAATTAAAATTCCATTCTACTTTATTTTTTTTATAATTAAATTATTGTAAAATTAAATCTATGTTGTTTAAAGGGAGTATGGGTACATCCAGAAATTGTCAATCCAGAATACAAACATGATGATAAACTATATGCAAGAAAAGAAATTTGTGCCGTTGGTTTTGACTTGTGGCAAGTAAAATCTGGTACTATTTTCAAGAATATTTTGATTACAGACGACATTGAAGTAGCTAAAGATAAGGCAAACGACATCATCAAATTAAGATTTGTAAGTACAATCTATATTTTAAAAATATTGAATTTAATTTTAAATAATTTTTATTTTACTAGGAGGGCGAGAGAAATATGAAGATAGCACTTGAAGATGAAGAAAGGATGAAAGCTATGCAAGAAGGAAAGATACCTAGTGACTCCCAACCTGATAATGAGAATGGAGAGGAAGATGAAGAAATTGTAACTACCGACGACACCCACGATGAGTTGTAAGAAAAATAACTCTATAATATTATCATCGTTTAAGTTGATATATAATCATGATTGTATATATATTTTTTTTTATTTTATATAATTAGTTTATGACTGCCACTTATTATAATGTTTTGATAAGCAACTGTTCTTACAGTCACTAAAATAATTTAATTAGTTCATACCTCGATAACTATTTTTTTTTTATAGATAATTAATACTATTGGCTTCTGAAAATATTATCCAATTTTAGTATTTACATTTTAGTATTTAACAATTATATTTATTTAAGTAGATACCCTAACCTACTTGTAAAAAAATGTATTAACGAATACAAATATGAATTTATAGTTATGAATAAAATCAAGGGTTAAATTTAATACAGAAGTAAACAATATCTTTTTAAATGGTAAATATTTTTCCGCATTAAGATACTATATCCTAAGATAAAAATCATAATTTATAGGTATAATATTTTTTTATATTCAATATGTGTTTTAATTAATTGGTCATGCATTTACACCCACCTATAGGATAGGTAAAAATAAAATTTTTCAACATAGTTAGCAATTAATATTAATTTATTTCTCCAACCTTTTCATGTGTAAAAACTTTAAATAATATCATCGGCTTATAAACTTGTAATTTTGATATTTGTATACGCAATATAAGTACACTACTTAGTTTATAATTTTTAATACAATAAATAAAATAAAATGTTTATGAAATACAATTTTAATAAAATAAATATAATTTTTTAAGAATGTATTTATTTGTTTTTATTTTAATCTAACCCCTTTCAAAAAGAGTACATATATTTTTCTTAGTTTGAAATGAAATAATATAATTATTATATAATTGTGTATAATATTGTGTTTTTTATCTTAATTTATGTCGCTATGTAAGTACTGAATAATTTAAAATTTGCATTAATGTTTTAAAAATGTTTTATTAGTTTCACTGTGACCTGAATTAATAATTATTTTATACAAGATTTTTTACTGTGTGACATTAAGTTGTTTTATCAGTTTTATATTAAATATTATGAATAATTCGGTCTAATACAATAGTATCCTAAAAATCTCGCATTCATCGCGACTGTGATGAGGCAGACCTAACCTGCGAGCAATACCATAATTTATTGTTGTAGGTTACGGTTTGGATCATAAACAGTAGTAATGAGTATGTCTTATTCTGTGATCTAAGCAATGTGAATTTTAATTTTTTTTATATTACTAAATCTTAATAGTAAATACTTACCTACCTAATTGAATATCTAGAAACATGAAATTGTTAAAATTATTGATGGATGATATTATTACCTAAAATGGAGGAGCTGGTCTATCTATTATAATAGTATGTTCATAAATTATATTCTCCATTATGAAGCTTTAATCCTACTATAAAAATATTTACTTTTTTATACCTTAAATATAAGGTAGGTATAGACCGGTGAATTAAAGAAAGTATATTATATAACTTACATAAATTTTTAACATAAATATACTTTTTGGCTGGATCACGGTACTGAGGGCCGCTTTCACCACTACTTTAAACTTCGATTAAAGTTAAACCGGGGTTTAATCGGCCAAATTTGCCCGGTTGAATATCTGTTATCAGTCAATTAAGTGTAATCGAAGCTTAAAATATTTGATGAAAGCGGCCTTTAGTATATCTCAAACCGTGGGCTGGATACGCGTTCTTTGTTTCTGACCGATTTTTGTTAAGTTTTCATTGTCATTGTTACTTATTACAAAAACGTATTTAAGATAATGGGTATGGTAGGTACATGGATAGATTTTCCTAGTAGAGGTATCACATACATCGACCTGTAAATTAGGTTATAAACTTAAGGTATAAACTTAGTTTATAGGTCTATGATCATATATCAATATCGAGTATCAAACACTTACAATGGTTTTTTTTTTTTTGAAGGATCATTGGCTTGAAAAATCGCTAAATACGGAAGAGTTCAACTTACAAAAAGCTATTGCATTCCTCTAATTTGTATTTTTGCATAATCGTTCTTGACTCGTTACTTAACAGTGGCGGTGTTTTTTGAGGAGTCAACAATTTTGTACCCTTCTAGACATATCACCTTTTATTACCCCAGTTCTCAAAACTCATTTATTTTGTTTAATAACAAAATGTTTTCATTAAAAATCTGTCAGAAGTCTAATAATTAAAGTAACTAGTAAGTTAGAATTTAGGATTACTATTCACTGTCATATAATATATTACATACAATATAGGTACTATATACACAGAATAGAGTTAAGAATCTATAATAGAATTATATAATTTAATCTATTCTGTGCAATATAATATGTAAAATTTAAACAAAACTGAGACACATAAATCAATAAATTGTTTTTAATGAAGAATCATAGTATAAACATTGAATATTCTATGGTATAAATAATAAACAATATATTATCTGTTATCATACAATTTATTGCTATTGATAATAACTTATAAGTGATAACGTGTGATAAAGTAGGGATAACCGTAGACTATAATCACGGCTTTTAAAAAGTTGGATGTTTGTGAAATTAAATTAAATTAAACATAGAATATTTTGATCGGCGAAATGATCGAACCGTTCGGAAAATTACGATTTTAGTTGTTTATTTCGTAAGTCCAAAATATTATTATTGATCAATGGCACGAATCACGAGAAATATCTGAATATGGTAATAATATACTTCTCTTTTCCCTTACAACAAGCATTGTTGTTCTCAAGAAATTGTGGTGTTCGTTCTGCTGACCAACGGAAATGCTTACAGCTGTATTATCGATTAATGCTTTACGCAGTTACTATAAGTATAATAATTTTACAACACATATTCGCTCTATAATAAATGGCAGTGTCGACGTCGACCATATCCGTTGTCATATTCTTTTATATGATTACTAACCCTTTTCTACACATTTTGTAACATATTTTGTTTTCCTAGAAATGAGCAAAGTAAAGTTAATGGTCTCCCCAAAGTTGCCTACTTTTATGACCTGTGGTTTAAGCCTCTCATTGTGTTTTTGTTTATATCAGAACTTTGGAAGTATTCAAACTGTTATAATAACTATCTTCCCCTGCAAGACTAATGGTCATTATAAGAAGTCAATACCTGATAATTGTAATATAATTGTGTACATATAAGAAGAGTCTCAGCAGTCAGCACTTAGCAATGTTGTGCAAAGGTTTTTTTTTATAACATTGCTGAAAATGTTCATGATTCAATATTTTGACTGAAAAAAATTATAATTATTAAAACTAATTTTAAACTATTTAATATTTCAGAATCATTTAAACAAGAGGTGGGTTGATGTGTCAAGGTTCTATACAAAGTATTGACTATGAAATGAGTGAAAATATACTGCACTGGATAAACCGTTATGCATCTACAAGTCTAATAAATGTAAGCCAACCAGATACTGCCTCTTTGATAGGTTTAAAATTAAGACATACAGATCGACCATGTTGCATAAGAATTGATATTCTGTGAGATGTAAGTAATTTTTTAATGTTAAAAATATAGATGTAATCACGTTTTCAAAATGCTGGTTATTTAAATTTTACTTAAAATATTATGCGATTTAAATAACATGTAATAGGTAAATTTATATTACATATTAAATTATGTAACATTTAAACAGTCAATTTAATTAATAATTTTTAAAAACTAATTTAAAACCATTTACAAAATTAATAAAAAAAAATAGGTGGTATTGCATTGGAATTTAAGTTTCTACCTATTGTTTTTACAACAAAGTCTGTTACATTCTGTAATTAATCTTTTGTTCATTAAAAAATACTTCTACTTACACAACATTATTTCTAATTAATTATTTCATAAAATATGAATTATTGGCTTTAGCTGAAATTAATATTTACCCACTGATACCTAACTGATTAAAATTGTTTAATTGTGTCTATTATGAAGATATAATTAATAACAATATTTAAATGTTTTATAATAATTTTATTTAGACAGATATTTCGGACCAATATTGGAATGGTTTAAAATCTGGCATTCAAAAAGCTTATGATAATGGATTTATGCTAAAGTAAATTATTATGACAACTGATATTCAGATTCCTAATGCTACTACGATAGTACGATAGATCATACAACACATCAACTATATTGAGGTGACGCAATGTTGGATAAAATCACAGTTGTCTACTCATGGTTAGTGCATGCCGCTATGATATTAGTTTTAATTCTTAAACATATAATAGGATTTATTACATTTTTTCTTGATATTATTAGATTCCATATACAAGACAGTCTTTGAAAAAGTTTAGCAGTTAATTCATCCAACCTTACCTACAGTGGACTTGAAGATTTTGCCGATGAAAACAATTTAGATCATCACAAGGAGTATGCAGATCATGCACTGTTGTTCATGTGTCAGTCATTAAGTTCAAACTTTAACAAACTGCTTTGCCTTTAAAGGTGAAGTCAAAGGTAATTTATAAATTATAATATTATTTACTTATTAATAAAACAATAAGAGTTATATGTATTACATTTACTTTAACTAGGTGTCATGATAGCACAACTAGTTTTGAGAGCTATCGGTTCCCTGGAAAAAATAGGTATATTTGTTGATAGTATTATCTGTGATATTGCAACAACCAACCGGAAGATGTGGAAAGAACTTGGAAAAGGCAGTTCCAAAAATAACTTAAGAAATTATTTTCAACATCCATGCGATCCGAAAAGGAAAGTGTATGCTTTTTCTGACTTTGTCCATTTATTCAAATGTGTACATAATCGTTTATACTACAACAAATGCTTACAAGTGATTTCCTTTTTTTTTCAATTGTTGTTTAACAATTACTTAATGCTCTGTATATGAATGGTATATTTTTTTTTTTTTGTACAGTGTTTTCAGCTAAATACCAGATCAAACCAAATAGTCTGGAAACATTTTGAAGAAGTGTATAAAGAAGACATTAAAAATCCCTGAAATTTAAGAATAATTCCTAAAATAACACATCATTTACAATTGACACC